CCAACATAATGGTTTTGCGACCCAACATGGATCCAGACCAAGCCTGCGCATCCGCGCAGTCTGATCAGGATCCATGCTGTTCGCTATCAGTTTCTTTACTTGTTATACGGTTTGTAAGCAAACAGCATGGATCCTGATCAGACTGCGCGGATGTGCAGGCTGGTCTGGATCCATGCTGGTAGCAAACCCACTATGTTGGTTTTGTCGTGACGCGGCTCATTTTATATTCACTATATAACAACATGTGAGTAGGAAAAAACACTGTAAAACCAAATGCCATTAAGATAAAGAAGCATGTTAAATTACAGCCAATTTGTTATTTCCTTTAATAAGATATTGCCATCAATATATTTCTTGTTTTAACAAGGTTTTACATAAGGTAATTTCAAACATATCAAAATAAATGTACATGTATTAGTTTTATAAGCAGTACTTAGAGGATCTATATATATTTTAAGGGTTATGAAGCTATATCTTATGACATATTCAAAATATGATATTGGTAAAATTATGTTGTTTCCATAACCTGATGATCGATTTCGCAAAAGAGTTGTAACATAGAAAGTCGCAGTTATTCAACACACAAATATTTTATGTCAACAGAAAAAATGTCCTGGAACAAAATATTAAGCTGCTATATTCAGCAGGTACCATTTAGCAATGAAGTCATGAATGTGGTATTTGCTCTTAAGGAAATATACCAATATATTTCATTCACACCTCACCTTTTTTTTTAATTATTCTTTTACAATTTTGTATTCTACATACAGCAGATTTATATTCTTATACACTTTAACATTATTATATATGTAAATTGAATTGCACTTACAAACAATGAATTTTAATTAATAGATTAACTGTTTATGTAATTACATTGTTAAAGGTACTCCACTGAAGTCTGAAGGTCTAAAAATACAAAATTTGAATTTCCTACATATATCAGCTGGGATTCTTAATAATGAAAGAAATGATATAATTAAAAATTGCAATTTTGTGCAACTACTGGATCAATTTGAGTGAAAAGTGTTGCATTAATCAATTTTCAGATATTTTTTCACAATTACAAGAGTTATTCAGAAAAAACAAAACAAAAACAAAAAACAAAACAAAAACGAAGTGAGTGAATGATTTAAAATTTTGTATACAAGTTATTTGTCTAGACCTATATTAAATGTGACATTAATCAAGAAAAATCAAAATAAACTGATTTGAACACTTCATCTGTTAAACTGCAAATATAAATAAATAAATATACCTTTTCTTTGTCCGTTAAAAGGAATTTAAATACATCATTTTCATTGGTAATGTTTTTTGTCTCAATATAATACAAAAATAAAGCACTTTTTAGCCTTGTGCATGGGGCAAATGACAATTGCTCAAAACCAAACATTTATCAGTTTCTATTATCACAATTTACTTAAAAGTAAAATATTTAAAGCAGCACATCTCCAGAATCTTGTTGATATTTATAAAAGCTCAAAATTTTACTGTTGTCATGTACACAAAATGGTGACCCTAGCCTTAGGCACTTTACATTTGAGCCGCGTCACGACAAAACCAACGTAATGCGTTTGTTACCAGCATGGATCCAGACCAGCCTGCGCATCTGTGAAGTCTGATCTGGATCAATGCTGCTCGCTTAGAAACCCTCTAACAAGTAGAGAAACTGATAGCAAACAGCATGGATCCTGATCAGACTGCGCGGATGCACAGACTGGTCTGGATCCATGCTGGTCGCAAACGCATTACGTTGATTTTGTCATGGCGCGGCTCATTTGTAATATGAACAGAATTTACCAGGCTAATTTTTCCCCTCTCTTCCTTAATAACAATGTATTAGTAATATGAATTTTGGTGATTAAAAAATTGTAAATTTTGTCATATAGTGCATATAATAACACTTTTACCTGGACTAATTATAAATTACTTTAATTACATGCATTATTTTCCTGTGCTTTATTTCTGGAAAAATTATTTTTCCTCTTCTAGAGATGTACCGTTTTACTTCCATTTTAAAAACATATAACAAAAATTTCATTTTCACAAAGTAAAATCTGAACCATTCTCTACATGTTAACACTAACAAGACCATTTACCATATGAAATACTTTTGAGATATTAGACAATATCAAATATAGGCATCTTATTCGTTGAATTCGAGCCAAATCGGTTTGACACTGACCAATTACATACAACCATCTTGATATTTATCTTTTTTCATTTGGTTTACATACCGAACACAAAATTATAAATTGACATACATGTATAAACCTTTCATTTCTGTCTTCAGTATCTTAACATACTGTTCTCTATAGTATAGAATGATTTTGCTCCTTTTCATGGCAATTTACAGGCCTTGCTCTTTAACCTGTATCACCCAAAATATCTTAAGTGGACTTGTCTATCTTTCATTCTGGACAAAACCATTTATCATTTTTATATACAGATGTGCCATATGATCTTGTTCTGCACATGTAGCATGGATAAAATTTGTTTCTGTCAGCAGGCTCAGAGTTAAATTTGTTGTAAGATTCTTGCCAAGTGAGAAATAATTATGTTGATGACTACAGACCAATTCACCTATATACCTTTAACCAGTCATTTTCAGCATTAAAATATTATGTACTTAAAGCAGTGATGAAATTAGTACATGAACCATTTCCCAGAATTCTTTATCATTATGATTATTAACACACAGCTTTGGCAGAATATAAAAAAGGCCGTTAACATCAGAAAATCTCCAAACATGTATAGAAAATTCAATAAAATTGATAATGATGAGAAGAACATTGTTCTTAAACAGACAAAGATATCCAGTCCAAAAATTAAATAAACTTGATAATGATAATACATGTAATAACATTATTCTTAAACACATGGAAGATTTCCCGGTCATTAAAAGAACACGCCCATTACAAGCAAGCTTCTCACGCCGGACACAATCACAGTTTGTGGAGGTTAGATTAGTCATGATATTGCACCAAGTAACAGTCACGTGACATCATCCTTTGATCACAGCGATTGGTCGAAGTTTGATAGCTTTCTTACTTATACCAGCCATATGACCTGAAATACAAGAACAGAGAATTAATCAACATGTATCTAACTGCCTATATATATAAACTATGAAACCTTGTTTTTGCACATATATATCTTGGTTAAAGACTTACTAGTCTTAATATTGAGTCATTTTTATTTTTTAAAAGTTCTGTATTTTCTGTGTTGTGTTACAATTTCCAAAAAGTAAGTTATTGGTCATACAGTTGAGCAATCCCTTGTGGTAGTACATTTATGGTGATTTCTGCAGAAGGAAAAACATTCATTTCTTAGGCATACCATGCAAATGATGCTCGATTTTATGAAAACCATTTTAAGTATTGTTACAAATGATTAACAGTGAACAACAATACGAAGAATTTTATACTATGATGCTTGAAAAGACCATTAACCATATGAAATACTTTTAAGATAAAAGATTAACAAATTTCAACTTACATGTATCAACAACATCTGTTACATTTTTATAAGATTGTGGTGCCTGAAATATCAAATATATATTCATAATTTACTGTCATAACCAACTCCTTTTGTAATTAATACAATCAAAATACCTCTTCACAAGTGTTAAAATCTAGAGAATCTCAGTTTACTTTGATATAGTATTCAAGATCGAAGCAATACATAAGCATTCTAAAAGATTAAATTATGACAAGTTTAAAGTTTACTTCAATCATATCCATTAGGTATAATGATAAGCCAATGAATGTAATAATCAAACTACAAGATTGTTATTAACTTATTTGCAGCACATGAAACCACAGCAATAAGAAAGCCATCATATACCATGGTCATAAATATTACTGTATACATGTAAAAATTTTAATACACATAAATATAACGCCTTATAATAAGTAATGGATAAATTGAACAAACATTTTTCAACACAAAACTTTAACCAAAATGTACTATGTAAGATTTATCATGCCTTTTCTTCTCTTTATTTAAATAAATATCAAAATATGTCAGAAGAGCACATTTAGTTTTTTTTTTTTTACAACTACAGCGAATAAAACTTTCAGTGGAATATTTCTGTGGTTTTTTTTAATACTCTTAATACATCTATATGTTAAATCTTTCAAAGCTAAGATTTGTTCAAACTTTAATCTTCATGTATCAACAAGTACATTAATATATTGCCTAAATTACCTTCAAATACAAGAGAAGAAAATAGGTGTTTGGGAATATATTTACCTCCTCCATGACAAGTTTTGGTGATGCTACACGTATACTGATTCCCTGCTCCTCCAGTGCATTTAATACATCTGTATAGTCCAAGTTACGTCGGGACTTAGCTCGTGACATTGCTCTCCCCTGTAAAACATTATACATGTATAATACACCTGTCCAGTAATTTGAACAGCAAAGCTTAATGCACTTTAACTTGTCAAAATTTACTTAAAACTTGTAGGTTTTTGCTGATACAACATTGCTAGGCTCAGATATTAACTCTATTATGTCCTAAATTCCTTACCATTAACATGTATGTGAAACTCATTAAATTTATCTTTTGCAAAATGAAAGAATGTATTGCATAAACATGAGAAGGAATTTATTTAAGTGTTATGCTTGTATATCAATCCATATACTTAAAGACTCTTTAATATTGTGATCTAAAATTATATATGTTTGTAAATTTGCTTTATAAAATACTTTTTAACTAAATAGGAAAAACAATCCCAAACTGGTTTTCAAAAGTATGAAATGGTGTGTTAATCTGTAAAGTTGTTTTGGCTTGTATCTTTGAATTAAATCATCATATCCAAACAAATGATTTTGTTGGGGATTCACTATTTTACAGGGATGCTAATTTTACTTACAGCACCGTGACAAGTAGTTCCGAATGTCTCATTCATTCCATGTTCTGTACCAGTAAGAACATAACTACATGTTCCCATAGTTCCTCCAATCAACACAGGTTGACCTGTCAACTGAAATCATTATAAGAATATTATATCTCTTACCCTATTGCTAATTGTTGAAATTTTATCATCTTTAACAAGGTTAACTGTTACTTAATGAAAGCATTTTTAATTTTTCACTGTCTTTAAGTCACACTATAAAGGTAAGTGACCCTCAGTTTGGTATTTCAGGCAAGAGTGGGCGAGTACGTGGATAGAAGTGTATATTCCCATCAATGGGAAATAACTGGTAATGTTACAATTATTCCATAACAAGCTTTATCACTCTTTGCATTTAACATTTGTAGGATAAATTAGGAAAATGATAGATCCCTAATCTGACCTTTAATTTTAATAACAATAGATTTAGCCACAAACATGGACATGTGCTCTTTTTGTTAATCATTATGTTGTGGTGAAATTCTGACTGTATTCACTTATCTAATAATTAGAATAAGACAGGTCAGGAATCTATGCACTTTACTTCAGTATAACATAAGAAATGTTATTGAATATGATGAAATTGAAAATGATTTTTTATTACATGCTTTTCGGTGGTTTATAGAAATATATCAGTGATATAAAACTGGTAATTTCAATGTTTGAAACAGTGAAATTACCACTTTGATAATTTCACTGTTTTGAATTTAAGCCCCTTACGTTGTTTCAATGAAATACCAGCGTGCACAATACTGGGTACCAACTTAATGACGTGACGTCGTAAATGACGTCACGTTGTATAATTATTTGGCGCGCTTTTCATTTAGTATTAGGTTTAATGTCTTTTTAAAACGTTTCTTTGCACATAATAAAAAGAAAATTTGTGTAGTTTAGGGTAAGATCGAAATATATTTCACCTTGTGAACACCAAAAGTTCATATTTCACTCGTGGCTGCGTCACTCGTGAAATATATCTTTTGGTGCTCACTCGGTGAAATATATTCCGATCTTACACTGAACTAAACAAATATCCTCTATATCATCATCATTCATACAGAAACATCTTTTACACATGTTCAACTTCTATTTATGATACTGTCCATAATTAATTTAAGAGATATATAGATGAAAATTTGAAATTAGTCAGCTAATCAGACTGCTATGGGTCTATATTGGTGACAAAGGCTAATCACTTTCGGTTCAGGTTAAGATTTAAAACAAAAGTCTTACCTGATAATCTACAGGTATAAGAGGATGATGTGGCGGGAAAGCTCTGGTCGAACCTTTCCTATGTACTAAAAGTGTCTTCTGCTTGCCGTCTAGAAAATGTTCCTCTACTTTAGCGATGTTGTGTGACACATCATAAATCACGTGCATGTCAAGGTCATCAGGGGTTGAATTGAACATCTTAGCAAAAGCCTGAAAGAAAATTGAATACAGACATTGTATACTTTCATAAATGTTTAAGAGATAAAATAAATCAGACAATACATTAATTCATCACAATTTAGTTTGGTATTTTAGACTGTTAAATAAATAGCACAAAATTCTGGAAAAGGGGAAACAATAACTCAGAAACAATAAAATCAACAAAATAAATGAAAAATTATAGACAAATTTGATTGAGCCTGATCATGAGGTATTTAGGAAATGTGCTACATTTATTACATGCTTTTCGGTGGTTTATAGGAATATATCAGTGATGTTTGAAACAGTGAAATTACCACTTTGATAATTTCACTGTTTTGAATTTAAGCCCCTTACACTGTTTCAGTGAAATACTAGCGTGCACACTTCTGGGTACCAACTCAATGACGTGACGTCGTAAATGACGTCACGTCGTCTTATTATTTGGCGCACTTTTTATTCAGTATTAGGTTTAATGTCTTTTTAAAACGTTTCTTTGCATATAATAAAAGGAAAATTTGTTTAGTTTAGTGTAAGATCAAAATATATTTCACCTTGTGAACACCAAAAGTTCATATTTCACTTGTGGCTGCGCCACTCGTGAAATATACCTTTTGGTGCTCACTCGGTGAAATATATTCCGATCTTACACTGAACTAAACAAATATCCTTTATCTCTCCTGCCCCTAGCACTGGCCTCAGCCATATTCAATCTTCTCCACTTAATCTGCAGGGATGAATGATTTAAAAACAAGAAAAATATAACAACACTGTAGTGAAGGATGGGGCAGCAGGAACCTATACAGCAAATTGCAAGGAGGTTATACAAGGAAACAATCTACCTTATATTTAACCCAAACAAGGCTTAATTTTGGGAAATGACTCCTCCAGCTTTATAGTCTAATATTAGAATATATATTTTATACTTGTACATAAGTAGTTTAAAAAAAATACCAATTTCAATATATCAAGTTTACCTGTCTTGCTAGGAAAGTCATACTGGATCTGTTGACCCAGGCATAGTTGGCTGCTCCAGCCATACCCTTGAGGTAATCTTGACCTTCCTGGGAATTGATCTTGGCACAAGCAAGTTGTCTATCATTTGTTAATATGTTGTCACGCTTCATTACTTTCTCCATCACAACCAGGGAATCTGAAAGTTCAAATGTTTTGTTTATTGCATACATGAAGTTGAGTAGAAATGGCATGGCCTTCTGTTTATTATTTGAGGTGTTTGGCAAGGTTCCTCACACAGGAAAACCTATTCAGATAAAGCTCCAAAATCAATATGCCTTAAAGGACATTCCACTCAAAAAATAAAACCTTTTTGTGGACTATCTATCTCGAGGGTAACTGTTTACGGCGGTAATGAGGCTCTGCCGAGTATCTGTTAAACAGTTACCATAGAGCTAGATATTCCCATCTGTACTGGCAGCCAGTGTTTGATTCTTTTTCTAGCATATTAAATGTCATTTATTTTCGGAACAGAAATTACAAAAACTGCTATTTTCATTACGCACTTTTTTCTTATAGTAGCATATGAACTTACAAACTTCATTCATAACGGTAAAATGACGTCATCCTTAGAACGCTATTCATTCATAAAGGGATTGCAGCAATGAGGTCATTTTAAGCATGCAACTTGTCTAACATGGGGGGTGTAAGACAGGGTTTTCTAGCACCAGTGTTAAAAGGAGATTATCCTGTCTGATATGCAAAAAGGCTGTTTTGTGACACCTATGCCAGTGCTAATGTTAAGGGAAGTAGAACTAGAAGAATTTTTGTCACAAAAACATAATTATGTCTCCCAAAACTATGTATGGTCACTCGTGTCAAGTTTCATTGAAATCCCACCAGAAGTTTGACCTGTGAAGGCCGGACAAGAATATTCTATTTTTAGCTCAGGCAGTTTTTGTGCAGGAAAGCGGAACGAGCTGGTGATGTGCACAACAAAAGATGGTACTGATCACTCCTGTAAAGTTTCCTTGAAATCCCACCAGTAGTTTGACCTGTGAAGGTGGCACAAGAAATTTTTATCTTTAGCTCTGGCAGCCATGTTGTGCAGCCAAGCCCAATGTGCGGGTATTGTGCAAAACTACAGATGGTACTGATCACTCCTGTAAAGTTTGGTTGAAATCCCACCATAAGTTTGACCTGTGAAGGTCGGACAAGATTTTTCTATTTTTGGCTCTGGCGGCCATTTTGTGCAGTGAAGCAGAACGTGCCTGTGATGTGCACAACTAAGGATGGTACTGATCACTGCTGTAAAGTTTGGTTGAAATTCCACCAGTAGTAAGACCTGTGAAGGCCAGAAGAGGATAGTGTATTTTTAGCTCTGGAGACCATTTTGTGCAGCGAAGGGGAACATGCCGGTGATGTGCACAACTAGGGACGGTACTAATCACTTCTGTAAAGTTTGATTGAAATCCCACCAGTAGTTTGACCTGTGAAGGCCGACAAGATTTTCCTATTTTTAGCTCTTGTAGCCATTTTGTGCAACGAAGTGGAACGTGCCGGTAATGTGCACAACTAGGGATGGTACTGATCACTCCTGTAAAGTTTTTGAAATCCCACCAGTAGTTTGACCTACGAAGGCCAGACAAGATTTTCTATTTTTTGCTTTGGTGGCCATTTTGTGCAGTGAAGCGAAACTTGCAGGCAATGTGCACAACTAGGGATGGTACTAATCTCCTGTAAAGTTTGGTTGAAATCCCACCAGTTGATTGACCTGTGAAGGCCGGACAAGAATACTCTATTTTTTGCTCTGGCGGCAATTTTATGCAGAAAAGCGGAACAAGCTGGTGATGTGCACAACTAGGAATGGTACTGATCACTTGTGTAAAGTTTCCTTATAATCCCACCAGAAGTTTGACCTGTGAAGGCGGGACAAGATTTTTCAATTTTTAGCTGTGGCGGCCATTTTGCGCAGCAAAGCGGAACGTGCCTGTGTTATGCACAACTCGGGTGATGGTACTGATCACTCCTGCAAAGTTTGGTTGAAATCCCACCAGTAGTTTGACCTGTGGAGGGCGGACAAGATTTTTCTATTTAAAGTTCTGGCTGCCATTTTGTGCAGCAAAGCAGAACGTGCTGGTGATGTGCACAACTACAGATGGTACTGATCACTCCTGTAAAGTTTGGTTGAAATACCAACAGTAGTTAGACCTGTGAAGGGCGGACAAGCTTAATGTGGACAGACGGACGTATGGACAGACGGCAAAGGCAAAAACAATATGTCTCCCAAAAATTTTTGGAGACATAATACACGCCTACAAACTGAGTAGCCAAGCTAGTTATTAAATAAAACAAACTATAATTTTCTAATGAACCAAATTCTTCATATAGACTTGATAAATTTATAACCTGTTGCAACTTGATGACCAAGTCCTCGACTGCCACAGTGGATCATTACACACACCTGACCCTTGAACTCTATTCCCATCTTTTTAGCAGCAAAATTATCTATTATTTCATCAACCACCTGAATCTCAGCATAATGATTGCCAGCACCTAGTGTGCCCAGCTGAAATATAATTTACTACATGTATTAACTTTTTTTCCTTCCCAAATTCATTTATGTAAATTACAGGAAATAAATTATCACAACTTTTTTATCTTATTTCTATAAAAATTATCAGAGTTTTCAATTTTTTTACTGAGGCAACAGATGTGCCAGAGAAAACAACCAATTTGACCAAAGGTCAAGAGGGATATCTAAAGGCTAATATTACAACCGATTTTAACAGTATTTTAACTGATGATATGAATTATGAATCTGTTAAAGGCCCATTATGCCCCAGAAATGCTTTTATTTTTCTTTCTGAAAAGCTTTTTATTTTTAATGTCCTGTTTTAGTTTCCAACAAGGGTGCCATAGTCACAAAAATACGCCGGTTTACGAAAGCTTTAGATGGAGAAAGGGGGCATTATGGATAAGTGTTATCTAGCAAGCAAGTTTTTATTCTTGGCACTGTGTTGTTAAATGAACCTTAAAACAAATCAGTAGGGAAGATATGCACAGGATGTGTGACCTTGACCTTGGTCGCAGGGACCTGAATTTTATGCACGGCACTCAGCCTCACAATGATGAACATTTGTGCCAAATTATATTGAAATCCCTCTATGCATGTAGAAGTTTTGCTCCAGACAAGCGTTTTTCTATGAACTCTAAGTGTGACCTTGACCTTTGACCTAGAGACTTGGTTCATGTGCAGGGCACTACGTCTCATGGTGGTGAACAATTCTATAAAGTAACATTAAAATTCCTCCATGCATGTAGAAAATATGCTGCGGACAACATCTGGATATTTAATCATCTCCAGTGACCTTGACCTTGCAAATATTAACCTAAATTAAATGTGTCACACCTGTAGTCATGATAGTTACCATTTGTGCTACAATCCATCAATAAATGATGACTAAATGGTCCCTATACACATCTTCAAATTTTTATCTGAACTCTGACCTCTATGTGTAACCTTGACTTTGGTCACAGGGATCTGAATTTTGCGTGCGACACTCAGCCTCACAATGGTGAACATTTGTGCCAAGTTATATTGAAATCCCCCTATGAATGTAGAAAATTTGCTCCGGACAAGCGTTTTTCAATGAGCTCTAAGTGTGACCTTGACCTTTGACCTGGATCATGCATGGAGCAATACATATCATGGTGGTGAACATTTCCATAAAGTATTATAAAAATTCTTCCATACATGTAGGAGATATGCTCCAGACAAAATCTGGATATTTCACCATCTTTAGTGACCTTGACCTTGCATATATTGACCTAAATTATATGTATCACAGCCGTAGTCATGATAATGACCATTTGTGTTACAATCCCTCAATAAATGATGATTAAATTGTCCCTATACACATCTTCATATTCTTATCTAAACTTTGACCTCTATGTGTGACCTTGACCTTGGCTGCAGGGACCTGAATTTTGTGCGCGACACTCTGCCTCACAATGGTGAACATTTGTGCCAAGTTATATTGAAATCCCTCTATGCATGTGGAAGTTTTGCTCCGGACAAGCGTTTTTCAATGAGCTCTAAGTGTGACCTTGACCTTTGACCTAGAGAATTAGTTCATGTGCGTGACATGGCTTCTCATAATGGTGAACATTTCTATGAAATTTCATTAAAATCCCTCCATGCGTGTAGGAGATATGCTCCGGACAAAATCTGGATATTTCATCATCTTTAGTGACCTTGACCTTGTATATATTGACCTAAATTATATGTATCACAGCCATAGTCTTGATAATGACCATTTGTTTTACAATCCCTCAATAAATGATGACTAAATGGTCCATATACACATCTTCATATTTTTATCTGAACTTTGACATCTATGTGTGACCTTGACCTTGGCCGCAAGGACCTGAATCTTGCGCGCGACACTCCGCCTCACAATGGTGAACATTTGTGCCAAGTAATATTGAAATGCCTCTATACATGTGGAAGTTTTGCTCCGGACAAGCATTTTTCAATGAGCTCTAAGTGTGACCTTGACCTTTGACCTAGAGACCTGGTTCATGCGCGCGACACTGCTCCTCATAGTGGTGAACATTTCTATGAAGTTTCATTAAAATCCCTCCATACATGTAGGAGATATGCTCCGGACAAAATTGGACGCCGCCCGCCCGCCCGCCAGGGGCGTTCCCATAATACGTCCCGTTTTTCAAACGGGCGTATAAAAAGTTACTCATAGGCCAATTACTTAATTCATGTTTTGCTTCTATGGCTCTCTGTAAATTAATGCAGTTATAGTAATTTAATATTTTGTATGGAAGTCAGAATACTACTTTGTTTACATTTTGCAACTTTTTTGACAAATAATTTTTTCATGCAGTACACTTTTGTTCAGGTGAAAAACAACTAACACCTCTAAAAGCAATATTTAAACACAATATAATTCATATTTGACCCTTTTTAAAGATTGGAAAATATATTTGTGTCTGAGGCATAGTGCACCTTTAACAATGAAAACCCTGCATTATCAAAACAAATTATTAGTTAGCATTCAAACTTTTCTATCATTCAAGGGTTTAAAGTGACAGTGTGAAGGTCATATGGCGACGTTTCCACCTTCAATATTGGAGGAAGACCACAAATACTTTTGAATATGTGTTATATAAGATATCAGCTGGTACACAAGTAGAATCATCAACCTCCAGTATATACTAGCTGGATAGCTTTATCACATGGAAAAATCTTAAGTCCCTAGCAAGATTAATACTCATTGGTATAGGTAAGTGATTAAAACTCAGCACTATTAGCACATTGACCGGAGGCCCCTGAAAGGGTACTAAGCATCAAATATAAACAATAAATATTGAGTCCCAGTCCTAGTTGAATACATAATGGTTCAATTAAGTATGACACAAAATGCCATTTTTGACAGCAGTATTCACTGATTCTAATGCATAAGCTCAAACATGATAAGAAGATCATCAGTTCAAAAAAACTTTTGGTATGTCAGTATTAAGCATATTTCATAGCAGTTACAGAAGAATTTCAATGGATGGCCATATGTATTTGCTCTAAATCTGATTTTATTTAAGTCACAAAACCTTTTCAATGAATATGGCCAAATTACAAAACAAGTGTGTCTAATTCAAGTATTGGTCTTTAGAACAAGTTTGACTGTATATAGCATATTTCACAGGAATTTATTCAACAGAATACCTGTGGAAGACCTCGTTTCTTGGCTCTAGGACTGACTTTAGATGGATCAGCTTGTAACATCCGGCCATATTCTTCACAATGTTCTTTGTCTTCAGCCCATATATAACCTAGTTTGTAACAAAATATAACAGTTTTACACTCACTATGTAAAAGAATGATCAAGTTTGTATACAGCAGATGATAAGGCAATTTTCAGATGTAGGAGAAGAACAAAAATAAGAGACATCACTCTATCAAGTCTTAACAAATGTTAAAAAATATATATATTTGAATGAGTAACCATCATTAAAAGGGGTGATCCCTAAGAAACTAAATATGTAAATGAAAACTGTGGATTTGGTTTAATTGAGTCTGTTTGTGAGGGATAATGGAAAAGTGCAACATCACTCATGCCTACAAGGGACCCACTTTAGAAGTATTCAGTCTTCAACACTTAATGTGCTGAAATAAATGATTCTGAAGAGTAAGCTGTACATTTTTCAGGAATTAGTTTTTCATTATATTATTACAGATTCTTGTGTCTGCCAATACTGCAATATTCACTCATTTTTGACATAAGTCAATCAAGAAGTTAAAAGGGTAAGCTTTTATAAACAAAGCTCTACTTGTTACAAACATAGTCATCATTATGACACATGCTATTAAGTGATTATTGTCTGGTTTGTATTTTTCACACCTCTGCAAGGGAGAGACGAAAAATTAATATTCAAGATAAAGAAAGGATAATAGCGTGAAAATTGCTGTCGGGGGCTGAAATTTTACTTTGAGATACTGAAAATCTCGAAATAAAAATATCGAGATAAACAAATATTTCGAATATAGATAAAGAAGGAAGAAAATCGGGACTTTCAAAATTTCATCGAGATAACGAAATATCGAGACAAGAGGGCCATGATGGCCCTGAGGTAGCTCACCTGTACAAAGGCCCCGGAGCGGGGCCAGTTTAAACCCCAGGGCTTTTATTTGAACAAACTTGAAAGACACTCATTAGATGATGTTTCACGATGTTAAGTTTTTACTACACACATAATGAAAAACAATGATCTCCCCCCCCTTCCAGCAGGGCCAATTTTCACCCAAGGGCTTTTATTTGAACAAACTTGGTAGACACCCATAAGAAGATGTTTCATGCTAAATATCTTAGCTCTAGCTCTTTGGGTTCTTTAAAAGAAGTTATTTTAAGTTTTTACTATACACATATAGTTAAGACAATGACACCCCTGGGGCGGGGCCAGTTTTGACCCCAGGGCTTTTATTTGAACAAACTTTGTAGACACTTACTAGAAGATGTTTCATGCTGAATATCTAAACTCTAGCTATTTGGGTTTTTTCAAAGAAGATTTTTAAGTTTTTGCTATACACATATAAGGAAAATCAATGACCCCCAGGGGCGGGGCCAATTTTGACCCCAGGGCTTTAATTTAAACAAACTTTGTAGACACTCACTAGAACATGTTTCATGCTTAATATCTAAACTCTCGCTATTTGGGTTTTTTCAAAGAAGATTTTTTAAGTTTTTGCGATACACATATAAGGAAAATCAATGACCCCTGGGGCGGGGCCAATCTTGACCCCAGGGCTTTTATTTGAACAAACTTGGTAGACACCCATTAGAACATGTTTCATGCTAAATATCTTAGCTCTAGCTCTTTGAGTTCTTTAAAAGAAGATTTTTTAAGTTTTTACTATATGCATAAAGGGAAAATCAATGACACCATGGGGCAGGGTCAATTTTGACCCCAGGGCTTTTATTTGAACAAACTTGGTAGACACCCATTAGAACATGTTTCATGCCAAATATCTTAGCTCTAGCTCTTTGGGTTCTATAAAAGAAGATTTTTTAAGTTTTTACTATATGCATATAGGGAAAATCAATGACTCCCTGGGGCGGGGCCAATTTTGACCCAAGGGATTTTATTTGAACAAACTTGGTAGATATTCACTAGAAGATGTTTCATGCCAAATATCTAAGCTCTAACTCTTACGGTTTTTTTAAAGAAGATATTTAAAGTTTTTTCTTTCGGTTGCCATGGCAACCAGAGTTCTGCATGGAATTAAATTCTTTGAACAATTTTTAAAGGTGACCACCAAAGGAACATTCCTGTGAAGTTTGGATGAAATTGGCTTAGTGGTTTATGAGGAGATGTCATTTAAAGTAAAAGTTTACGGACGGACGGACATACCAATTTTTGATGTTTATGAGGCAACTCAGCTCATAAACACCACCTGGACCAACGTCCATAAGCAAAATAAGCTCATAAAAACAAAAAAATAGCTCTTAATTTGAATTTTATGAGTTTTTGTTCTTTATTTAACTACGGAATGAAGCTCATAATAATCAAATGTTTGCTCAGACGGTTGGACGGAAGGACGCCGGACGAAAGCGATCACAAAAGCTCACCCTGTCACTTTGTGACAGGTGAGCTAAAAAGTGATGTCGAGATAACGATAGTTGACTGTATATAACATCTACCTTCTCTCAATGACCAGTCCATTCCCATCTCTAAAGCTTCTTCAAGATCTCTGAAATACATAAAGATAGAGTCATCTTTAACAGGTGGATCAAGGTTTTTTTTTGCAATTACAAATGTATTCAGAGTTCATATGTGAAGATAATTTAATAGTTGATAATTAAGAGCTGTTTCTTCTAAGCATACAAAAATTACCAAGTTCAAAATGCCACAATACACAAATTGTACCCATATCAACTGAAACGGTATTTGTTCTGCACATTCACAGGTCATTCTCTGTTAAAATGGACAGGAATCAAATGAGCCGTGTCACGACAAAACCAACATAATGGGTTTGCGACCAGCATGGATCCAGACCAGCCTGCATATCCGCGCAGTCTGATCAGGATCCATGCTGTTTTGTTATCAGTTTCTCTACTTGTAATAGGGTTTGTAAACGAACAGCATGGATCCTGATCAGACTGCACAGATGCGCAGGCTGGTCTGGATCCATGCTGGTCGCAAACCCATTATGTTGGTTTTGTCATGACAGGAATCAAATTAATTTGAATAAAGCTTTATATTTTTGCCTGTATATCTGTTGTTTACAAAATAATTGTTTGAATTTTTGGTAAAAATAACACTTGCAAAATACTGTATGAAGGAAAAATGTTCGTGTATTTTCTAAAGAGCTACAGGTTCATGCCCTAAACCAATAATAAACCGTTAAGATCCTGCTTTAAATATCAGCATAATATTTTGTTATATACATTATTCATGACTTGTACATTAAATAAAAGAGACATTCTATATTAAAATTATTTTGAGAATTGACAATAAGGTTATGAAAGTAACATAATTTTACTGTAAATAACTTAAATAAGATAAATCTTTATATCCTTTTATGTTCATTTAAAAGATGAAAGGGGTTAAATAATGGGGAAAAACTACACAACCAAACAATAGAATGCTTATGCTACATCTTTTTTGGGTTATTTCAATTACAAGAATGGTAAGAGTTAAATTACCAAACATATATGCAATCAATCTTTAGCAATATACATACAAACTATTCATTTATATATACATAACACACATTCAAGATTTCTATTTTTAGTAACTTTGTTTTTTTTTAAAGATATACTATAATAGTTGCACACTTACTTTGCATTCATGGGTATAATTCCTTTGGAGCCTACACCTACAGGTATATGATCAAACAGGCACTGTGCTAGCTGTTCCTTCACAGGTTGTACATCTTTCTCTGTGAGGTTTGTCCTTAACAAACGTACACCGCAGTTTATATCAAAGCCCACACCACCAGGGGAGACAACAGATTATACATTATATTATAATTAAAATAAAATAGACATTTCATTAGAATAGTGTCACATTAAAAGTGACCTTTTGTAAAATGAGCATATTATTTTAACAAAATTTTCTAATTTGGACTTTTTCCCTTTCTATAGTAGAGCATTTTTAAATATTTAATTATGCTTCTACATTGTTTTTTTTTTTTTTAATTTTCTTATGTTTGTTTATTGATTTGTTTCTTTTAGTTTTACGTCACACCAACACAGTATAGGTCATATGGCAACTTTCCAGCTATACTGGTAGAGGAGGACCTCGACGCCCTTCTGTACATTATTTCAGGCACACCTGAGTAGAAAAACTAATGTTCTGTAAGGTAGCTGGATAGCTTCCTCACATGAAAGAATCCAAAGTCCCTGTGGGGATTTGATCCCACAGCATTTAGGTGAAAGTGGTTTGTAATTAAAGACCTGAACCATTTGGCCACAAACAACCCCTTTCAAGTTTATCAATTTATATATAAATTGTCAGTCAGTAAAAGACCCAAACAATATTACACTGAAGACTATTGCAAAAGTAGATGTTACCAATAGCAAAACCATATCCACTATGTACATCTGGCAGACCTATAGATCTCTGAAAATATAAACATATCCTTCTATATAACAATTCATAAGATAGTCATGTATGATCAACAAATAAACATTGTGACCAATTTTGACAACAATAGGTTATAAATCATATTCAATAAAATGTATTTTCACTATGGTTAATAAATAAGAATGTTACTTATGTACAGAAAAAAATTCAAAATAGTGAGTTCAAATGTCTCAGCAAAATCATATTACCTCTGTGTTTCTAAGGCCATCCTTAAAAAAATGTTCGTTTGCAGTAACACGACCGACTCACAAAATTTGCCCCTACTCAAAATTTTTTTTCATGGTCTGGATAAAAAAAATTATATATTTTTTATGAATCAGAAAATAATGCCTTGTGCTTTGTTTTCGTTCTTTTAAAAGTTAATAGAAGAAATAAAATGTAGGTCTTATTAAATTAGAATTCAGTTATCAATTTATTAATTGTTACCAGATTATCAAAGCATATATTGTCCAGCATTTTGAAATTCTATGTTTATTTGGGAGTACAGTTCAATAAAAAAACAACATTTTTTTAAGGATGGCCTAATGGCATTTTCTTGCCATAACATCACTTCCACAGATCTATTTGAAGAAGTTGTCAGTATCTTGTTGAGCTTTGACAATTACTGGTAAATTAATTCAGATACACTGTCAAACTTTGACTTAACACATACAAAACAACAATAAATACAACTGTTGACACAGACAGGTAAATTACCCCAACAATGCCAGGTAAGGCAGCAACATTTCCTATCTGTTTCATTCCAGGTAGAAAACCACCATATCCACCACTCCTACATGACTGCTTCAGTTCATCAAACATCAGTTTCTCCAAAACCTCATTCACAAAGAACAGACCTTCAACCTGCAAAACAAATATCATTCTCATAACCTAAGATCTACATAACAAGAACAAGCATTCAATCCCACTTCTGTGTGAAAAGTAAGTTTATTTACTCCTGCCATACCTTAAACCTTTATTTGTGTAGTGATTAAGGATTTCTTAACTTGCACCATTTGTCTAATGCATATTTAATTAATCTCTTAACTTTACCATTTGTGTACTACATAATTATTTTATTACAACCTAATGTTGTACCATTTGCATAATGCATACCTAATACAACTTAACTACCACAATCTTTGTAATAAAAAACCAAAAACAACCTTAACTTGTGTCATTTGTGTAATGCGCATGTTAAACAACCTTTACTTCAAACCTAATACAACTTCAACTTGTGTCATTTGTGTAACGCATATGTAATAGTACAACCTTCACTTGCACAAATTGTGTAATACAAACCTAATACAACTTCAACTTGTGTCATTTGTCTAACGCATATGTAATACAACAATAACTTGCACTATCTGTTGAACACATATGTAAATTAACCTTACTTTGTACCATTAATTTTGTGTTATATATACCGTAATAATTCTATTTAGCGCCCATCCTCCAATAGACGCCCACCCCCCATATTTTGGACAAAAAACGGCCATTTTTCAGCCCAAAGTTGAAAAATTAACTGCCCCTTTTAAACGCCCATCCCCCGATTTGAGTACAATTGAGCTTACCTTTACAATTCAAGTTTCCTCATTTTCGTTTTCACGTAGGAACAAACTTCCCTTTTCTTGTCTTTTTTTCCGTAAAGTTTATATGTACACGGTATTTCAATGCCACCACCTTTTACAAAAGTTCCTTTTGATGACGAACGCGGTTCTCCAAGTATTTCGGCACTGATTTCTACAATAAGTCCATCTTTGAATAATTTTGTAAAAGGCTGACATAATCCCTCCGGTATATGTCCAACAAGAGATCCATTATTTTTTACGATAATTGCGCTATCACTATGTTCATTTTCTGGTTCCAAATTACACTGAAGTAAAGTTCTGCCTGGGCATGTATATTTGTAAACGTGATATCCCTTAATAACAGATTTAATAGACACAAGCATAGGTGTTGCCATAATTCAATATGTTTTGTGTATAAGATATGTATACATGTATAAAAAATAACCATTCTGAGATGCCAAAACTCACGCGCCTATTTCATTACGTCAGCAAGGTCAACGTGCGTGGTTCAATGTATTGGGGCCCAACATGGGATATTAGTTCTGATTAAAATTTTTTTGAACAATAGATGATTGTCTTTTTATATCAAAATCCCACATCAATCCCTTTAGGAACATATATGCTTGTGTCAGTAAAATCGGTCAGAACTATTCTTACTTTTTTTTAACAATTATATTGGCGGGTAAAAAATGCATAATGATCGGACTCAAAATATTCCATTGACTTTTTGAATTGTATAGAACATCCCAGATTACAGAGTAAATTGGTAACCTTACATAAATATTTCGTTGGGAAAAATCATAATATTTTTGCAGTCAAAATGCGTGAGGCTCATTTTTCATCCCGTGCTCGGATACCGGACTCTACATGCACGGTATTAAAGTGCGGAAAAGAACAGACTTAAGCCGTAATGTTACGATACCGAAATCGACTTTAGCGTTGTCTGCAATTATAAATCAACATCCGCTCTATCTTCGGAGTTCTTTTTATAGTTATGAGGGGTGAGTGGATTTATAAAGCCTTGCTTAGAAAATTAGATTGTCTTATGAAGATGCGTCTCCAATTAACGCCCATCCCCAACTTTCGAAAAGTCTATGATTCTAATAAAAGCCCGGGCGCTAAATAGAATTATTACGGTATATGTCATTTAACCCGAGCCTGCAGCATTTGTGTAATGCAAACTTAATCACTCTTTAATAATACAAGCTAAAACAAGATATATGTAACTAAACTTATTGACTTACATTCATGTTGTCTACAAAGCCTTTCTTTATTCTCCATGCACAGTTTCCAACCTTCTCCAGATACTTCAGTTCATCCTGGTAAGTCCTTACTACCATTTTGTCGTCTCAAAAAGTTGCTGTCAAAGAAATAATTTCAACTATTAATCAGCCCACAATATATTATAATGGTTATTAAGGTATGTTATAAAATTAGAAATTCTGTTTGCTGTTATGTTTTATCATGCAACTGCTATGGTAACTGCCCGATAACACTTGCCTGATAATTATTTTTGATATCAGGTCAGTAACCTAATAACAAAAATAAGCCCCGCCCATTTTAACGGACTTTTTTCAATTGCTTATATTCTTATTTTCATCAGCATGTGAATTCCACAATGTAATCTCATACCCTTACAAGTCTTGAATCAAGACGCGATATTTATTTTTTAATTATTTCGATTTCTATTACGAATAAATTAGATAGCGAATAGTTTTAGCACCAACTAAATGAAGTGACGTCATAATTTATATTGCAAATGACATCATCGATGTTCACGTCATATTATACATGTAATCATAACAAACAGGCTGGACGATTTTATTTGAGAACTTGTAACTGTTTACTTTATTTTGCCGGATTATTATTTAATAAATGAACAAATTGTTTTGTTTAAAAAATAAGACACATGTTTGTGTAGCTTGTGTTTGATTGCCGATTTGACTTTTCTTTGATGAACTTTTGAATTTGACAATTCAAGACAAATATTGCAGTAAAGTTTAGTTTATCATCAAACTTTATGTGATTCTAAGTGGATTTTTGGATGGATGTTTAAATTAAAGGTAAGAATTTTATCGTATTAGGCCTACATTCTGTTGCATCTTTTATCCGAGTCGAAAGAAAAAATGGCGGCCATTTACAAATTCTAAGTTTCAGGGGTGGAGGAATTTGTTTTCAAGAATTATTTCTTTGAACAAAAATCACCCTATTCGCTATTTAAAAAAAGATTTTTTTGTAATTTTTACAGTTATTATGTAATACATGATAAATAGAAAAACATGCTACTGTCTTTTGATATCAATTTTATCAGGCTCAGCTGATATGGGCAGAAAGGGCTCGGCAAGCCTCGCCCTTTCTAGCCCATATCAGCCTCGCCTGATAAAATTGATATCAAAAGACAGTAGCATGTTATTCTCTATGTAACAGATTTTCTTTAATGTAGATTATTTACTACATGTACTTTTTGGTAGCTATTAAAAACATTATTTAGTATTTATTCTTGCTATTCAGTGGTTTATAGAAATAAATCAGTGATATAAAACTGGTAATTTCACTGTTTGAAACAGTGAAATTACCACTTTGATAATTTCACTGTTTTGAATTTAAGCCCCTTACGTTGTTTCAGTGAAATACCAGCGTTCACAGTACTGGGTACCAACTTAATGACGTGACGTCGTAAATGACGTCACGTTGTATTATTATTTGGCGTGCTTTTCATTCAGTATTAGATTTAATGTCTTTTTAAAACGTTTCTTTGCATCTTACACTGAACTTAACAAATATCCTCTATATATTTCACCTTGTGAACACCAAAAGTTCATATTTCACTCGTGGCTGCGCCACTCGTGATATATACCTTTTGGTGCTCACTCGGTGAAATATATTCCGATCTAACACTGAACTAAACAAATATCCTCTATATGTATTATATAGAATTGAGAAAGATACATGTAAGACTGAAATCGAATAATGTATTATAAATACATCAGAAAAAGTTCAGAAAAAGTTGTGCAATCCAGATGGAAAACAAATAAATTGTTGATAAAGGTAAAGCACTGACGGCACCAATGTAGATTGGTACAATAAAGTGGTCAGTCCCAAAGTTTCATAAATTCATACATTTTTAAATAAAAATGTTTTTATATAGTCTATTTAGTTTAAAACCTTTGCTAAAAGCAAACTTCAAATAAATTTTATATTAACCAATCAACATCAGTAGTGAATAATACAAGAGCATTAATTTTATGATAGATAACATGTGTTGCCTGATGACAACCAATTGTATGTTGTAGCTACTGTGTAGCAGGAGACACAAAATATATAAACAGGCCAAAACACTTTTTAATTCAAGGGCCATAACACTATAAACAAGCAATTATCATAGTATTGCAAGCAATCCATAAGTCCCCTACCGGTAAGAGCCCAAGCAACATTCTGAAGGGCCATTGGCCATTCACTTATGTTCCTATTTTAAGTAAATTTGTTGAAAAAGTTCTTTAAAAGTGATCACAGGAAACAGTTTTTATGTACAGACAGACGGACTGAAGGACACTCTAAAGTTATTTTTTAAACATCCCTGTTATCAAAATATAACATATTAAAAATCCTATCATGATTGAAGAAGTTGGAGTAAAAATTACCAATTTCTCAAAAAAAAAAGTTCAAAAGGGGCATAATTCTGGAAATAGTCTTGCTAGAGTATTGAACACTCACAAATGTTGAGTGATAATAAGAAACATTTATATGAAGTTTGAAGTAGATACATTCAGAAAAAGAGGTTATTAAAATAACAATGTTTTTTCATGAAAATTTTAAGTTCAAGGGAGGTAATTCTGATAAATTTGTGCTAGAGTTGTAAACCTTGTCACATATGATGTGGTTGATTACAAGCAACTTATATTTAAAGTTTGAAGAAAATACCTTAAGAAATAAAATACTTATAGTGAAAAAACTTAAAAACTTAAGAATCAGAAATCTTGAAATTCAGTCTATTTGTTGCCATAGCAACCAGAATTTTCAACATAGGAAGAAAAGAAAAAGACGTGCATAATCTCCATACTGCCATCTATCCATATATCAAGTTTCATTAAAATATTTTCAGTACTTTTTGCGTTATCGCGGGATCCAGTTTTGTGGACGGACGGACTGACGGACGGACAGACGGACGGACTGACGGACAGGACAGACGGACGGAGGGTAAACCTAAAGTCCCCTCCGGTAAACCGGTAGGGGACTAACAAGAGCTGTCCGTAAGACAGCGCGCTCGACTTTTTTATTGCTTGCCAATAAAAAAAGTTTTTGCAGTAAAAGGCAATACAAGAATCTCTGTATTTTTAAAGTGAACAATGGCCATGAGCATTAAGATATTTAGTGAAGAATTATTTTACTGAATTGTGTGATACCCTTGAACACTGCAGCAAAGTTTGAAATGTTTAAGTCAAAAGAGGGCTGGTAAGAAAGAAAAAAAAACTGAGTTGAGCCTTAAATAAATTTAATAGTATTAAACCCACTTTGAGAGAATAAGGTATTTTTACGTCACTCAGAACACCTTGGTAAAAACTTAACCAAGATTCTAAGTCGATAAAAGGCCTTAATTTTTAAAACAAATCCTTGACAGAGTTACCTTCTCTTGCGTACAGATGGGGGTAATGATGTGAAATAGCATTAAAAGTTTCAAAGCAATATCTCAAAGGGTTAAGGCAATAAGTGGATTTTACCCATATTCAATGTATTTTCTAAGTCAAAAAGGGGCATAATTCTGTCAAAAACCTTGACAGAGTTATGTCCTCTTGTCTGTTGATGAAGGTCGTGATGGTAAACAAGTATGGTCAGTTTCAAAGCAATACCTCAAATGGTTTTGAAATAAAGTGAGGTGGTACAAAAAACTTAACCAAGCTCAATACACTTTCTAAGTCAAAAAAGGGCCATAATTCTGTCAAAAACCTTGACAGAGTTATGTACTCTTGTCTGTAGATGGAGGTTATGATGGTGAACAAGTATGGTAAGTTTCAAAGCCATACTTGTAATACTTCTGAAATAAAGTGGGGTGGTACGAAAAACTTAACCAAGGTGTGACGCCAACGCCGACGCCGACGCCGACGCCGGGGCGAGTAGGATAGCTCCCCTTTTCATAGAAAAGTCGAGCTAAAAATCATTCAACTGGAAAACCCGTTAAATATGTGCAAGAACTTGAGATACCGATCAATCCTGTAAAGTTTCATTGAAATTGCTTGAGAGAAGTCGTCAGGACAAAACCTTAAAAAGATATAAAAAAAAATCATTAAAGGGCCATAACTCAACAAGAGCTGTCACAGGAGCCAGCAAAGCTCGACTAATAAAATACTGGACGCAGTAAGTGAAGGAGGACAAAACTATGAAAGAAAATCAATTATGTATAATTATGTATTAAGTTATAGTAAAAAAACATTTGTTAACATAAATTCCAAGATCAAGGGGAATAATTCTAGAAATTGTCACACTAGAGTTATGAACCTTGTCACACAACATGTGTGTAATGATAAGAAATATATATTTCAAGTTTGAAGTAGATACCTTAAAAAGTAAAGAAGTTATAATATTTCTTAAAGAAAATCCTAAGTTCAAAGAGAGATAAATCTGTAAATATTGCTTCAAGAGTTATGAACATTGTCACATAAAATGTAATTGATGATAAGGAATAAGTATTTGAAGTTTGAGGCAGATACCTTTAAATCTAAAAAAGTTATAGTAAAAAATAATATTTTTTAAGCAAAAATTCTAAGTTCAAGGGGAGATAAATCTGAAAATATTGGTGCTAGAGTTATGAACCTTGTCACATAAGATGGGGATGATGATAAGGTACATATATTTGAAGTATGAGCAAATAAAGAAGTAACAGTAAAAAATAGTATTTTTTGAGGAAAATTCTAAGTTCAAGGGGAGATAAATCTGAAAATATTGGTGCTAGAGTTATGAACCTTGTCACATAAGATGAGGATGATGATAAGGTACATATATTTGAAGTATGAGGTTGATCCCTTAACAAATAAAGAAGTAACAGTAAAAAATAGTATTTTTTGAGGAAAATTCTAAGTTCAAGGGGAGATAAATCTGAAAATATTGGTGTTAGAGTTATGAACCTTGTCACATAAGATGTGGTTGATGGTAAGGAACATATATTTGAAGTTTGAAGTTGATACCTTAAGAAATGACAAAGTTATAGTGAAAAATATTTTACTGCACCAAAACTTTAATCTGAAATCTGGACGCGGACGCCGACGCCGGGGCGAGTAGGACAGCTCTCCATATACTTCGTATAGTCGAGCTAAAAATCATTGACCCAGAAAATGTAAATGATAGGCACAACAAAACTTGGTACCGATCATTCATGAACTGCACCAGTAGTTTTTAAAGAGTAGTCTGCTACAATTATGTCAAGGTTATAATTTATACCACTTTCCAATTTTACCTGGGGTCAACCTTTAACATTGTCAGTTACCTATGGTAAATAATTATGTTCTGTTCACACTACATTATCTATATACCTTCATAAATCTTTAACTTTTAATATTAGGATCAGTCTAATATGTTAAAGAATTCCCCCGGAAGAAATATTCAGTGTAAATATGCTTCACAGTAACAGATCTATTTTACCCAAATGTTTTAAGGAGATGGTAAACATAAAAGATTTGCAACATGTAATTAAATAACATTTGATCGTCCCAGTAAAATCGTAAATTTATTGAGATAAGAAATTTTCTTTCGATTTCAAATCAATCAAGTTTTGTTGTCAAGGTAGGTGCTTTTTTTCTTAACATTTATATTCCATTTTTTTCTTAAAGAAACATTATTATATGAATCAATTATTTTTCTTAATTAAGTTGAATACAACTGTTTAAATATTTAAATACTTTTACATCAGATAACAATATATACAATGTACATATATTTGTATTTGACAAGTTTAATCTTGTAAATTTGGATATTAGACTACTCTGAATGGGATCCTTGCAGTTTTTAGAAAATTCATGTCAGAAAATTTAAAAGTTTTATGTCAGAAAATATGACACTATAAAAATCACTCTAAACTAAATATTTAAACATTTCAATCATATTTTTTAAACATTTTCAGCATTAATTTTACTGGTCAATCTAAACCATAGAAGTTCATCATGGGAAATTCAAAAACCAAAGAAAAAACTGGCTGTGGGAATTGCTCTAAGATAAGGAGGGTACTAAATGTTTCCGAGTTACAAATTGGCCAACATATCTGTGAACCTGGGAGGAAAAAATGTACCTACAAGGAAAATAGACACAGTCTGAAAGCTCAATACTTTCATCATGCTATAATTGGTGAAATAAAACACCGTAACGATTACAAAGTTACGCTTGTCCTAATACACTATACTGATGTAACCGGATTGAAGAAGGGGTCAATAAAAATAACAGAGGAGAAAAGAGATCTGAAATATGATGAAATATACATTGTCCAGTATACATATCCAAAATATTCTGCTGAGAAAATAGTACAAAGAGCCAAAAAAGAAACAAAAAGAGAAGTAGAACAGGAGACCTATTACGAACAAGAAGAACACAGATATACCTTTGGGAATTATAATCTTTTTGTAAGCAATTGTGAACATTTTGCAACTTGGTGCGTTCTGGGAAATAAGGAGTCTTTCCAAATTGATCAGAAATGGAGGGTTTATTTGTTTCCTTTTAAGATAAGTTCAGGAGTGGCAGGGATCCTTTCACAGCTTCTCCTAGAAATATTAAGATTTTTTGCTTCTTTTGTATCTGACAAAAATATGTATGGACCTGGTTTTTCAATTTTTGTCATTGGAGCATTTTATTTAGTACTTCTATTTGGCAGATACCGCCACCTTTACAATAAATACTGGAACTACAGAAGGGTATGTCAACATTGTTATGAAGAAAAACAGAGCATCTTAGCAATAAAACTATTTTGGTTCATATTATCTGGAATTTTATTTTATTTTATCACAGATGCCTGTGCGCCACGGTTCCCGGCATGGCCAGTGACAATAATACTACATGTGATATTCACCTTGCTTAGCATTTTTTTCCGTCGGTTATATGGAGAACTAAAATCCCCGTTTCTGCGTTGGTCTACTAGAGTCAAACAATTGTCAGAAATTAAAAGAGGTCACGTCATAACATTTAGACATTTTGGATTTCAACACTTTGCCCTTATCACAAAAATTCACTCAGAAACAAGTGAAATATCCATAGTTCACTATAAAGGATTTTTCAACATCAAACTGACCAGAGACAAAATCTGTTTGTGTAAAAAATCAATTAGGCGACTAAGACTGACAAAACTTTCAACATATAAAACAAACAAAAGAATCTCAAGGATTGAAAGCAGGTTGGGTGAGAGAAAATGGCATTGGCGTTGTAATAGGTCTGACCATGTATGTTATTGGGCATCAATTAAACAGAAACATTGGGAATATTATAAACCAGTACACAGCAACGAGACATTAGATCAAACAGAGGAGGACTATGTTAAAAAGAGTTCACTGGAAGTTGAAACTATTGTTGTCAACCTTAGAACTGAAATCGAAGAAGGTGATGTGATAGAATATTATATCAACAGTAGAAAAAAAGAACATGGAACAGGGATCATTACTGAATTGAAGAATACACATGAAAGCGAAAATGGAAATGATCGCATCTTTACACTTGTTGTGGTTACACAGAAACATAGAATTGCTGAAGAGGCTGAGATCACTGTAGATTTGAACACAGATACTATTAAGGTAAAAAAGTTTCATCCAGTGCACTGTCGTAGCATGCAGGAACGAAAAAAACAGGCGAAAAGGGCTCAAGAAAACAGAGAGCAACACAAAGAATTCAACATCATGAAATTTTGTGTTTTAAGGGAAAAACAAACAAAAGAGCAAAAAGACATTGAAAAGAAAGAAAAGTGATTAACTTTTGATTCATGTGATTAAACCTATTAAAACAAAAGAGCTAGCCTTTACTCAGGAGTTTATGGAGTTCATGAGCTTTTAAATTCACTTGACATGCATAATTTGATAAAACACATCATTTACACTTTTATAATCTGTAACCTGTTCTATTAAGTCTTTGTTAGACTCTGTAAAATTATCATCAGAATATCAGACTTACAAAAGACTAGTTGTGGGTAGTTACAGAGATGCAAATATACAAGAAGTATGTCACCAAAGACCGCATGTACCTACTGTGTGTGAATGTCTCAGAATATGTTGTGTAATCCCAGTAATCAGTGTTGCTTGTGAGTGAGGGTTTTCAACCCAGACTCCAGATTGAGAACCAACCTCAATAATGTAACTGAGAATATCTGAGGATGGGCCATCCCTAAAAAATTTCAATATTGAAAAGGATGTCATAGCCTGAAAAAAAGTAAGAAAAATGTTGAGCAAATTGACTGTTGTTGATGAAATTCAGTGACTGAAGTGTTTGTTAATTTAATGTAAGAACTATATTAAGTATGCTGTACTTGACTACTATGTGCTCATGATATGTGTTGTTGAGATCTAATGATTGTTTCATCATTGTTATATAAAATCTATAAGTGATGCTGTGCTTGATTATAATAATATGGGTATGATGTATTTTGTTGAGGATTCATTGAAATTGTATTTAATAATTTAATTTAATATTTAATATATATGTATCATAGAGATGTTTAAGAACACATTTTCTTCATTTTATATGCCATACATATTTTTAGCTTGATTTGATGAGATGTTACACGGAAGTATCACTTCTCCGTAAATTTCAAAACTTCTCCCTATTTTTCCTGAAGGGAGAAGTGACTTCTCCCTAAATTTTCAGTCCAAGGTAGTCCCTGGTATACAAACAGAAACAAGATTGCATTTGTAAAAAATGCTATGCCACTGCATAAAAACAACACTAAAATAGTAATGTAGGAACACATTTTTTTTGTTTTGACCCAAGGGCTTTAATTTGAATAATCTTGCTAAAGGTTCACTACACAATGTTTACTGCAAAATGTCTCACCTCTAGCCTTTGTCAATCCGAGAAGGTGATTTTTTAAAGTTTTTGCTATATACATGTAAGGAAAACCTATGACCCCGGGGCAGGGCTAGTTTAGACACTAGAGGCAAAATTTGAACAACTTTGGTAGAGTACCTATAGATGATATCATATACCAAATATCAAAGCTCTAAGCCTTGTACCTTCAGACAATAAGATTTTTTAATTTTTTACTATATGTACATAGTGAAAATCAATGACCCCCGGGGATGGGGACAATTTTGACCCCAGGGCTATAATTTGTTCAATCTTGCTAGAGGTTCACTACACAATGTTTCACGCAAAATATCTAACCTCTAGCCTTTGTCAATTTAGAGAAGATGATTTTTTAAGTTTTTACTATATACATATGATGAAAACCTATGACCCCCGGGACAGGGCTAATTTTGACACTAGAGGCAAAAATTGAACAACTTTGGTAGAGTACCTATAGATAATAACACATACCAAATATCAAACCTCTAAGCCTGGTACCTTCAGACAAGAAGGTATTTTAAGTTTTTACTATATGTACATATAGTGAAAATCAATGACCCCCAGGGCGGGGCCGATTTGGACCCCAGGGATATAATTTGAACAATCTTGGTAGAGGTCTACCAGACAATGCCTTATGCAAAATATCTAAGCTCTAGGCCTTTTGGGTCTTTACAAGAAGATTTTTCAAATTTATTCTTATAATTCCTTTTGGTTGCCATGGCAACCAGAATTCTGCATGGAATGAAATTCTTTGAACAACTTTGGAAAGCCTTCACCCAAGGAACAATCCTGCCAAGTTTGGTTGAAATTGGACTAGTGGTTTTTCACAAGAAGATTTTTTAAGTTCACTATATAATCTATATAACACACACACACACACACACACAGGTGAATCGCTATATGCCACCGCATCGCAGATGCTGCGGCGGCATAAAAAACAAAACAAAATCATAAGCATACCAGCTCCTCCTTGTACCATTCTGTTAAGATGTATCAACAGGAATTCATGTGCTGTAACATGTGACAAGTGTCAAAGATTGCATCATATTAAATGTGGAAACACAGGTATGATTTGTTTTAGAAATTAAGTATTATACTTACTTTGGTAAAAAGTAATTGTGAAAATGATTTAATAATTATGCTTTTTTAATATGTTAATTGTTTGTTTCTGACCTACATACATAAACTACATAATACAAAAAAATATTATTTATAAAAAAACATGCTTTGTTTAAGGTTAAAACATACTTTTTTGTATTATTCAGGTATCTCCGAGCAAGACTATGATGCAGTCATATAAGGAAATCTTGACTTTTGTTTCATTTGTGCGATTTGTTGTTTCGAGGACGAGTCTATCATCTATTGATGTAGAACCAATGGCAATCGACGATTGTGAAAATGTGACGTTAAGTAAAAGCCATCTGGACGTGCTAGAAACACTCTGTAACTCAACTGTCTCCATGTTAGAAGTGAGTGATTATGTTGGCGCCGACAACACAGATACATTTCACGTTCCAAGACCAGAGAGAGATATTGAACTTGACTCAGTAGAGAGTGATATTCTGGTACATATGATACAGTTGTGGAGGTACCATCAACCTCAGAAGTGACTTACCAAGTAATATAGAATGGTACAGAAAGAGGGAAGTGGAAATTGGTTACATCAGATGGTTATTCCTAAGTTATTAAAATAGAAAATTCAAGTCTAGCATTGTAGAATGGCAGTGTAGTGTAAGCAGAAAGGACTTAAAAGTGTAGCGCAACTGTTAAGCAAAACAGATATGTTTCAACCATAAAGTGGTGGTCACAGTCATTCATCCAAATGTGGACTGAGCATGTCAGCTCAAGTGAAAAAGAAGGGCTTTTTTATCACCAATATATTCATTTACACTGATTTCAATACTCACAAATTTTCTACATCAAAATCAAAAGCTGTAATTACAAATACTTGTGAAGAACGTGACACTCACAGATTCACTACAATTAAGACGTAAATCAACCAGAAGCCTCCCAGACCTCATGCATATCCCGATAATTATGGTCCTGTATAAAAATGTTGTATATATGTATCTATGTATGTATGGTTGATCCTGCCAGTAGTCATATGCTTGTCTCAAAGATTAAGTCATTTTGGTAATAAAATATGTTTGTTTTCATGATTTTTCTATTCAATAAAAGCTGTTTTTAGTATAATTTTCCAGTTTATCTATATAATTAATGAATGTTAACTAATTTACAATGTGTTATGTAATTTTAGTAATAAAATATGTTTGTTTTCAGTTGTTTATATTCAATAAAAGCTGTTTTTAGTATAAATTTCCAGTTAACATGGAGAAGTCAAAGGCTTTGGCTTGCCCGGCTATAGACTTCATTTGTATATTTAAAAGGAAATCAAATAAAAAAAAATTAAAGAATACATAGAATTCTATACCTATCAATGAAATTTTATGTGTAAGTTCTAGTTGGGCACCGCCATTTTCAAAGTAACTCAAAGATAATAGGCGGGGTATTCCAATAACAAAACAGTCGCAACCTTTCCAATAAATAGTAATCGTAGTGTTCAGAGTGAAAACGGAAGCGGTCATTGGTGCATTAAATACCAAATGACTCCTTTAAAAGGATAAATGAACGCTTTTTTAACCAACTTCACTATTCATAGGCTTTGCCTAATTTCATAATAATTTATTATTAATGTGATTAACGGAGATTAACTGATTTAAAATGTGTTTTGGATTTTTAGTAATAAAACAATATGTTTGTTTTCATGTGTTTTTATTAATTAAAAGCTGTTTTTAGTATTATTTTCAAAATTAAATGATATAATTACTTAACGAATGAAATACAAAATGGAAAAAAAGGATTTCATCAACAGTTTGAAAATAGGCGTGATAAAGACTAAAGTTTGCATTTGAACATTGTGGACAGTGTCAAATTGTTACTTAACTGTGGTGAATAGTTATTAATTTGTGGTGAATCGTTACTGTGGCGAATTGTTACATTACCCTTCCTTGGATTCATATTAAAAGAATAAATTTACACAGTATCAGTTCACAGGCTAAAGCCTAAATCATTGAACTTGATTGAAGGCTTATCTTGTGTTGTTTGGGTTTGTTCATCATAATCTAAGTCTCTTGTAATTTTGTTTTCGGAAAACACTTAATGAAAAAAACAATTACAAAAAAAAATGTGTAGGCAAGTTAACGTAAAGCCAGATCGACTTGGGACCGGAGTGTAGTTGGCGCCTGGTTTGAATGTTTCCTATCCGAAAACTCTTCCTTTTAGCTTCAATAATAAATGGTTTGTACATCTAGGAAAGAAAAAATATTGCCTTGACAACCGGTTATTTTCTTAGCATATGTCCTTTTGTTTAATTTAAAGGACTTGAGCACTAACTGTAAATTCAACTTACCTAAATATTATAGAAAATGTGCTGATAATGCGCAAATGCCGACTGCGGCACCGGTGTTCGTAAGAAAGTAAAAGTCGTAGAAATTACAATCGATACGACTGGGACATTGTATATTCGTATGTAATCATATGTCCCATACGGTGTGTTTTTGGCCACGGTATAGTTAAGTCATGGGAACGAGTAACTATGTCGTGGCCACGAGTTACTAAGTCGTGGGCACGAGATAGTTAAGTCGTGGGAACGAGATACTATGTCGTGGTCACGACACGAGATACTATGTCGTGGCCACGAGTTACTAAGTCGTGGCCACGAGACAATTAAGTCGAGGCCACGAGATACTATGTCGTGGCCACGCCACGAGATACTATGTCGTGGCCACGAGTTACTAAGTCATGGGAACGAGATAATAAAGTCGTGCGCACGAGATAATTAACCAATCAGATTACACTATGATTTTTTTAAACTTAGAAAAAATTCTGTTTAAAGTTTCACATGCAACATTTATCAGTGCATGTTCACTTTAAACTTAATACATGTCTTAGGATCACCTTCTAACGTCCATAAATCAGACATTAATTTTGACTAAGTTATAGCCCTTTCAGGCTGATCAGTTTGTACGTACAATGGCCTGTTAACCTTGTTTATACGATAACTTGAGAAGGAATTAGTCCTGGTTTATTTCATTTGGTAGGGAAAATGATTATACCCATGGACAGTAGATAGCCCATAAGTATGTTTGAGGTCAAGGTAAACATTACACTTCATGTAAAATCCTTGTCAAGGGGCAGGACGTGAAGTGGTTGCACACTTGGTTCAAGCGAGCGAATTGGTTGCAAACTTGACAAAATGGCGAACACGGCGTGATTTTTTGAAACGGGTGAACGAATTTTTGCCAGGCAAGTGGGTTTCTTTGTTATTTTGAAATTCATTAGTATGTCTATTCCATAATGCAATATATATGCCACACTCGGTTAAAGGTTTCAGCATCCTAGATTCTGTTTTGATGAAGTTATTGAAGATATAAACTGATCATGTAGATATTTTAAAATTTGACATGTGACTGTTCGGGTTGGTTTTTCTCCTAATTTATTCGAATTTGTAAGTTTTGAACTGCATTTAACAATAACAAAATATGTTTCTGTCAATGCTGTACAAATGGTTTAGTTCGCAAGTCCGAAGATAACGTTCAATACACAAAAATATCTTGTTCAAGCACATTTTGGTTGCAGACTTATACTTCAAGCATTTTTGGTTGCAAACTTTTGTGTCAATAATGTGGCATGCATATTTTTAGCGAGGAATAACTAATCATTTTTTTTTAAATAATTAGCAATATTAAGGCAATTAAACCCGTTCATCTAATAAGAAATATATATACAAATTGTGCATGCGTGCAGATATATCCTAACACAGGGTCTTTCAAATAGATATAAAACACAATATGCTAAATTGAAGTTCAGTTGTGTTTATCTTCATCATTTTTTCTCCTCGATATACTTCTTTTCTTTTTACAAAGTCTTAGGACTTTTTTTATATCTTGGCATGACTAACTGTAAAGGAAAAGAAGAAAAAAATAGCAACAAACAGCTTTCATTATTGTTATATATCACCCTGTGTTAGGATATATCTGCACGCATGCACAATTTGTATATATATTTCTTATTAGATGAACGGGTATAATTGCCTTAATATTGCTAATTATTTTAAAAAAAATTATTAGTTATTCCTCGCTAAAAATATGCATGCCACATTATTGACACAAAAGTTTGCAACCAAAAATGCTTGAAGTATAAGTCTGCAACCAAAATGTGCTTGAACAAGATATTTTTGTGTATTGAACGTTATCTTCGGACTTGCGAACTAAACCATTTGTACAGCATTGACAGAAACATATTTTGTTATTGTTAAATGCAGTTCAAAACTTACAAATTCGAATAAATTAGGAGAAAAACCGACCAGAACAGTCACATGTCAAATTTCAAAATATCTACATGATCAGTTTATATCTTCAATAACTTCGTCAAAACAGAATCTAGGATGCTGAAACCTTTAACCGAGTGTGGCATATATATTGCATTATGGAATAGACATACTAATGAACTTCAAAATAACAAAGAAACCCACTTGCCTGGCAAAAATTCGTTCACCCGTTTCAAAAAATCACGCCGTGTTCGCCATTTTGTCAAGTTTGCAACCAATTCGCTCGCTTGAACCAAGTGTGCAACCACTTCACGTCCTGCCCCTTGCTTGTATGATGAATGATTAAGAAGGAATAAGCCATGGTTTATATCACCTAAAAGATCATTGCACCTTATCAGTAGATGACATCTAATCATTTTGAGGCAATTGGGTCAAAAATCTATCTATCTATCTCTAGATACTGCCAACCCTCTTACGGGTGTTATAGGCAGGGATTTAGTGCACGTCGGATTGTTAGTAAAAGGTGAAAAGAAAAGTCCAAACATTAGCATGCTTGGAAGGTGAGACTGAAAATGTATTCTAGTCATGGTTAAAATGTTAATAGTGAAACAAGATGATAAGTGATAAAATAGTTTAAAAACACTGGGAGTAAGACTAGTACTGTAAAACCCACCACTGCCTGTTTGAACTGACTCAAGTTGGGCAGGGTGACAATGTTACTAGGAAGTTTATTCCATAGTATAATGCTATGAGGGAAGAAAGAGTATTTATGGTAGTCGGAGGATACCTGTATTTAGCGTAGGGATAAGGGGTGCATATGTCTGGTTAATCTATGTGGGGTTTGAACATATGGTGGGAGATTAATTGCAACTAAGTTATGGTATATTTATAAAACATTATCAGTCTACAGTCCAATCTGCGATGTTCAAGGGATCGCCAGCCCAGTTCTTCCTGCATCGCTGTGAGAGTAGAGTGAGGGGAAGTAATCCATTTTAACCCATCTTATCGCACGTCTCTGGATCTAGTCCGAAATATTTAGCATTTGTAACAGACTCTAGGACTTGGCCATGGAGCATATATTTGTGTTTAATTATGGTTTTATTTTGGTGATATGGATGACTTTGCATTTTGAAGGGTTAAACTCCATGTCCGACTGCTTCTCCCACAGAACCATATTGTCTAGATCATGTTGGACAGTTGGGGGGTCTGAGGAGGAATTGATGGTTAAGTATACAGCAGTGTCGTCTGCAAATAATCTGATTGGGATTTTAGGACAGAAGATGGTAGCTTGTTGATATATAGAAGGAAACAGAGGGCCATAGGACTGAGCCTTGGGGCACTCCAGAGGTAACTGGAACTTCAGATGAGGAGTCACTATCCACAACTACTGTCTGTCTACGGCCAATAAGGAAGGACTGTATCCAGTTTAGAATTTGAGGACAAACACCATGTTCTTGAAGGGTATCTAAGAGTTTAAGATGGTTTACTTTATCGAAAGCTTTAGAGAAGTCAAGTAGTATGAGATCTGTTTGTTTGCCATTTGAAAGAGTTTTCACAAGGTAATCAGTAAGTTCAATGAGCTGTGTCTCACATGATCGTCTTTCTCTGAATCCGTGCTGAAGATCATAGAGTATGTTGTGGGTGGTAAAGTGTGAGGATAGTTGAGAGGCAACTATGTTTAAGGATTCTGTATTTATCTATTTTACAGAGGATGCAAGTAAGAAGAAATTGGGCGATAGTTTGCTGGATCACTTGTATCACCTTTTTTGTAGACAGGGCATACGTTTGCACTGGTCCAGTCATTGGATATATTACCGGTGGTCAGGGATTTTTGGAAGAGAACTGCAACGATGTCAACAATCTCTTCTCTCAGCTCCTTCAGGACAATTGGTGTAATGTTGTCAGGGCGGCAGCTTTGTTGGCATTGAGGTTGGCGAGGAGCTTTAGTACACATGCCCTACTGACTGATGATGATGTCATTTATTTATGGGTACTGACAATACTTTTTGTGGGATCCATGAGTCTCAGTTTTTGTATGCATTGATCTTTAAGTGTGAGTGGTATAATTGGTGACAAAACTGATTGAAATTGTTTGTTAAGAATGTTTGCTTTTTCAGTGTTATTAATTTTGAGAGAACCTGAATTTTGATCTTTTAATGGAGACACACTTTGTGAATCTGGTTTAGAGTTTTTTTATAAGTGTGTATAGTTTTTTGGTACAGACTTTAATTACTTTGTGTGTTAGTTTTATCATCATCATCTGCAAGGTCCAGGATGTTTTCTAAGTAAGACTCATATGATTGTTTAATTCTGGCTTTTATTTGCGATTTATTTTTTTTAAATTTTAGCCATTGATCATGGTCATATTTATTTTTTATTTGTTTTTGGTTTTTTAATATTTTTGTAGAGCTGGTCTCTTTTATGTATTAATTTTTTTAATGGATTTTGTTATCCAGGGCAAAGATGGTTTAGCTGTAATTCTTTTAGTGGGTATGAATTTTGATATGCCATCCTCAAGTGTGTGTTTGAACTGCGCCAAAGTTCTTCAACAGATAATGATTCAGCTTTTTGAAGTATTTCAGATGTTGAGGTTTTAATGAAAGTTTTCAACTCAGTCCAATTTGCCTTTTATACTGGGTCACAATGACGCTAATTGTAAAATCATTTTACCAATCAATAACTTGTATAAATGGCACTTTTACAGGCAGGTGAAGTAGAGGCATCCTTGTACTATAGCACATGTCTAGTTAGTTAGGAAAATTTATATAAATATTGTTATCTGATTGGGTAATTTTTCTTAGTAACTCGTGGCCACGACATAGTATCTCGTTCCCACGACTTAACTATCTCGTGCACACGACTTAATAACTCGTAGCCACGACATTGTATCTCGTTCCCACGACTTTACTATCTTCGTGGCCACGACTTAGTAACTCGTGGCCACGACATAGTATCTTGTGACCACCAGATAATTAAAAATATACACATGTCACCTTTGTACCACCGTAGTCCCAGGTTTAGGATAGATTCTATAATTATAAGAAAACAATTTGTTTCAGACTTCAAGTGCCTTTTTTCAAAACATTGATTTATATCTGGCACGTACCTTTTTTCTATTTTTACATCCCTGCTGTACATTATTGTAGAACGTGT